CACAGATCACACCTGCCTCAGTTCCTCTGTTGGTTGCTTCTCTTTGTATTACTGACATTTTTGCCCATGGTGCTCAACAATAAGAAATCAGTGAGACTGGACCTTCATGAGCTGTTCTGAGCTGGGCTGACATCTCCTTGCTCCCATGCACCTGCTTAAATAAAGGCCTAGGCTCCTGGCCTTCATACTCTGAGGGAGTGAAATTCTCTACTTGTTTTGGAGTCGCATATGAGTGCCCTTGTGTATCTGCTCACATCCAACAAAATTTCTTTTTTAGTTTTCCTTCTAAATGTTGAATTCATAAAGCAAAGAAAGCCAAATACATATTTTATGTCAGGATAGGGGTGGGGGGGGGGGAAGGGGGGAGGATTTAGAAAGGTTTTATGTAGGACAAAAGCCTCTTGTTACCCTGAAGCCTAAATATTAGCATAATGCCCCTGAGGCTGAGATAAGGCATGGAAAGGTAAGATGGGGTGAGATAAGATAAGGGGAGGTGGTAACATCAATAAGTAACAGTGGTGGAGGACAAAAGGTGAACCACTGGACAGGTGTGAATCTGAAGAGAAACTGTAAATTTAACCCTGACTTCAACTAGCCCGCATTATTCTGGTCTCTGCCACAGAAATCCAATAACTCCACAATCTCCAGACAGACGGGTTCTGCAAATGCTGCCAGAGGATGTCTGGCTGCAAGTGCTCATTCTGCCTATGTGATCATCTGCTCTCACTGGCAACCCAAGCACCCACTCCTATTCTGAGGGGACGCTCAAATCCTCCAAATGCTATCAGCAATTAGAAACTGCCTTCTCCTCTTTTGTTACATCAGTAACATTCACACATGCTTCCGATCAAGAGACACATGTGCCCAAGATTCTGTTAGTGTCTTCCTCCGGTGAAGGTGTATAGGATGGAATGCTTTTCTGAAGGGCACAAATCTTAAAGCAGTCCATTTGTTTTGTTTTTTAATGATGTTGTTGATTTGGGACACAGCAATTCAGAACTGGAGATCTTGTGCTAGGCTCCACTGGGCTCTCACTCCTTGCAACACAGCCCAGAAGCTGCCACTGAAGAAGGGTGTTAATGTCTCCCACAGGCTGCTGTAACAAAACACCTCAGGCCAATCAATTGATAAGCAATGGAAATGAGCTGCTCAGAGTTCTGCAGGAGTCTGAGGTCAACGACTCAGAAGATTTAGTGTCTCAAAAGGGACCCTACTGTTGTCTCACAGCATGAAAGTGTGTATAGCTTTTTTTTTTTTTGGTGACAAGGTTTAATGTAGAGACTTGCCATGCAGCCAAGAATGACCTTGAATTTCTGATATTTCTCCTTCTACTCCCTGAGCACTGGGCCTGCACGCCTGCTCTGCGGTGCCCAGTTCATGTGGCAGGTGCTCTACCAACTGAACTCCGGCCTCAATTCCTCTTTAAGCCACTTTCCCAAGTACAAGACATACCCACCTCCTGAGGCCCCATGTCTTTTCTCCTCATGGACAGTGCAGGGGACATGCATCTAGACACAGCTTTAGGCTTTCCACCTCACAAGGCTCCTTACTTTCCTTACCTAAGAACAGTGTCTTCAAAATTGTCTCTGCAGTGCATCTTCTCATTTTTGGTTTTCTCTTGGGTTGCAGGATGCTCAACCACCAGTCTAGTCTGCTATTCTCTTAGTTCTGAAGACTTCTTCCATCTTTAGACAACAACTTCACAAGCTAGGTCTGGGTAAGCCATCACTCCCTTCTTCTTCTCTTCACATCTGTGGGTTAAAGAGAAGGCTTCATTATCTCAGCTGCTCAGTAGCTATTGCAATTCTTCTTATAATACTTCCTATGAATTGGGTGCCAATGTTCACTTAGGCACCAGTGGCTCAGCTTTCTCTCAAGCCTTGTTACTCACTGAGGATCATGCACAACAAATGTGTGCATTGCTATCCTTATCTCAGATGAGAACTCAGAAGCTTGGAGGAGCTAGTCAGCCTTGTCCAAGTTCACACAACTTAAAATCTGTAGAGTGAAGGCTTAAAGGCAGAACTGACTCCACAGGGCATGTTCTTCAGTGGTGGGCTGCCTGAGTGGGTGAGGTCATATTGACTAGCATGGCTCCTGTGCTGGGGTTATAATTTCTGCTTTTCAGAATTAAGTCATGAGAGAAGGGCAATATGCTTGGCTTGGCAAGCCCAGGCTGTGTGTACAGCCCAGCTGCTTCTATCTGCCCTGGCTGACAACTTTGGAGAGTAATTAAAGCAGGATGGTTAAAAACACTCATGCATCCATTCTGTTGAACTTTACAGGACTCAGAATAGACTTCTCTTTTCCTTGTTTTACTAGAGAGGATTACTGTAATTAGCTTTCATCCTCATTTCAAGAGAAGCCTGTCCTGGGGCAAACTGCATGAACATCTAGTTATAGTCTGTTCTGATTATTTCAACAATGTTCATATCTGTAGCTGGAAGGTTTCTCTGGTCCCACCCGGCCCCATGGTCCTACAGCCACTTATAAAATAATCATTTAGAGGCTTAATATTAATTGTCAACTATACGGCCTATGGGATGCCTCTTGCTAGCTAGCTCTTACAGTTTAACCCAACCCATAAGCATTAATCTATGTAATACCACGTGTTCCATGGCTTTACCTGCATCCCACTACATGTTGCTCCTAGGATGGCAGTCTGGTGTCTCCTCCACTCTGCCTTTCTCTTTCCTGTCTCTCTCCTTGGACTTCCTGCCTGTCTCTAAGCTGCCTTGCCATAGGCCAAAGCAGCTTATTTATTAACCAATGGGAACAACATATATTCACATCGTACAGAAAGACATCCCCTAGCACAAATCTATGAGTGATATGCTTTGTATTTACAAAGTAAAATTTTAGGAAAACATTTTCTAGCTTCATCCATGATCCACCCCCCCCCCCAAGGAAGTGTAACTGGTGAATTTCCTTATTGAGTTCTGAGTAAAATGAGTTCTTATACAGACAAATGTATGTATAATGTATGGGAGGATGGGTGAGTACTGTTATCAAGAATAAGCATTTTTTACTTAAAAATCCATAGTATCCTTATTAATTCTTTGAGAATTTTATGCAACATATTTTGATCATATCCCTGCCCATTTGCCCCGGCCAGCAGGGTGTCAAGGGGGGGGGCAACCCACCTGTGGGAGAGAATGAAAGGGATGGGAGACACGAAAGGAAGACAGCAAGACAGGGTTCTGATCAAGCTGCAAATTTTATTCTCCTCAGCAAGGCTTATATAGCATGGGAGGGGGAGGGGGCAGGAAGGAGGGAAGGGGTGCACGACGTGCAGTTGAGGGGAGACGTGCAAGTTGTGAGGCTATAGGATGTTGTGCTAGGTGGTAAGGTCACTGGTTAGGGCCTATTGTTCTGTTGCTATGCTACCTGACCTACCTGACTGAGGAATGTTCTTTATCTTTGGGGGCATCTGGTTTAGGGCCTGTGGCTTGTTCTCTGGCCTAGCTAGTACTTTTCCATGGTTCATGTTCGGTCCCTGACACCCACTCCTATCCCCACCATTGTTAGAGAATTTCAACTGCTGCATGCAAGGTGACACAGCATTGCTTTAACTCACCCCTCTCTAGTCAACACTGCTAGTACACACTCTCCATCTTAGGAGACTCATTGAGCAACCTTTTCTGTTCTATTTGAAAAGTTTTCCATGTCCATTTTCTGTGGAGTCACTGTCTTTCTTTTATTAAGTGCGTAAAGATATGCTGCTGACTAGCTGTCTGTGTCTCCTCAGAAACTCAGTGTTGATGTTCAGTCCAGGCGATGCTGTGGGGGGAGGCTTTTGTCTTGTTCTTGGGGTCTTTGTGAGGAGACCCTGGCCTGGACAGAAGGGGTTCTAGACAAATGCCTTTGCTCTCCTGCCTTGTGAGATGAGGACAGCAGCCATCTGTGGACCAGAAGGTGGATCCTTGCTGGACCCTGAACCTGTTATGCTTTCACTTTGGACTTCTAGACTCCAAACCAGTGACCAACAAATTTGTTATTTACAAGACACCTGGGTCATAGTGGTGTCATCACAGCATAACTGAGACAACATATGCGTGTCTGTATTAAACTGACACTCTTCTTTGGCACACATTTGGTGGACAGCTTAATACGCTGTTCAACGTTGACTTTTATTTCTGCCTGTGTAAGAATTGATTTTACACATCAGCATTTTCAGTCTTTCTATAATTTTTAGACATCACACGTGAACTTCTATGGTGAATTATGGGGCTGGAGAGATGGTTCAGCAGTTAGAAGCACTCATTGCTCTGCCAGAGGACCCGGGGTCACTCTCCAGTATGCACACAATGACTCCCAGTCTTCTGTAACTCCAGTTCTAGGAGACCTGACACCCTCTTCTGGCCCCCGGGGGCGCTGAGCACACATGGTGCGTGCAAGCAAAACACTCATAGACACAAAATAATAAAATGACAAAAAAATAAACAACAGCAACAAAAACTCCAGTGTATTAGATACTTAACTGCCAAATTGTGTAAAATTAGATTGTATGTAGTAAATTTGTTTTCTCCCTGAAAGGTGGAGGCGTGAAAGACAGGCATCAGAGGGCAACTAAGAGTGGGGTAGCTGATCCACTGAGGAGAGCAGGCATTGTGGGACCAGGAGAAGGATGTAGCTTGAGAGTTTTCTCCCCAGGTTCCGCCAAGCCCCAGCAGTCCAACAGCCCACTTATAAAATAAACACAGAGATGCCTATATTATTTAAACTGTTTAGCCTAATGGCTCAGGCTTCTTGTTAACTGTTCTTATATCTTAAATTAATCCATTTCTATTAATCTATACTTTGCCACATGGCTCGTGGCTTACCAGTTCCTTACATCTTCCTTGTCATGGTGGTGGCTGGCAGTGTCTCTCTGACTCAGCCTTCTACTTCCCAGAATTCTTCTCCTCCTTGTCCCGCCTATACTTCCTCCTGCCTGGCTACTGGCCAATCAGTGTTTTATTTATTAGCCAATCAGAGCAACACATTTGACATACAGAACATCCCACAGCACTTCCCCTTTTATTTTTTTCAAAAAGGGTTTTAACTTCACGTAGTAAAATTACAGATAACAAAACAATTATCAAGCAAAAATTACAGTTATAATATCTAGTCTATTTATAATAACTAGTCCATTTGGCAAAATTAAAGAAGATATCCTATCTATCTTATATTTGTGAGTCTAAGGTTTCATATCTAACTTATCTTTTATCATAACCAAGGAAAATTATAACTATCTCTAGTCTTCAACTACATCAAAGACCTCAGAAGGATATACAGAGAAATGGAAGAAGGATGCAAGCATCTTTCAGGAGTCTTGCGAGAGTAGACAGAAACAGCTGGCAGCCTGGACAGCTATCCAAAGTTCCTTTGTAAAGTTGGGGCATCTGTCTTTAGCCCATAGGCCTAGAGTCTCTCAGTCATTTCTCTCTGTGTCCTGTAGAATGTCTGGCAGTTTTCTCTGTGAAGCAGGAACCTGAAGGACCATTTTGCCAAGCAAAGTTCAGTGGTCATCTTCCTATGGGTCCTGCATGTCCAGTAGATACATTTTTTTTCAAGCAGTCCAGGCAAGAACAGTTTCTTGTCCAAATGGCTATTTTTGTCAAGAAGAAGATAAACTCCATACAGAGTGTCTTGGATGCCCATCCTCCTCTCTGAATGAGCTGTACAAACATAATACCTTAAACAAGAGTAGAAATATACACACAGTATAACAAAATTAACTTTAAATTTGTATCAATAAACTAAAATCCATAGCAATGTAAAACATTTCTAAACAAGTTGTTGCTCTTTAAAAGTAGGTTCATTAATCTACCCTTTCATCCTATCATATCTATATTGTAGCACAGAACATGGGATTCAGACACTAAGCACGGCATTTTGTGACTTTTGGAAGAAGACAGAGGGAAGAGAATGTGAGAAGTAGGAGACATCCCCTTCCTCCTCCCTCTGAAAGGCTCTTCCTCTCTATGCAGCCAAGAAAGACCTTGAACTTGTCTTCGCCTACCTTCACCTCCTAAGTTCTAGGATTATAGGTGTGTACCACTGTGAGGGCCAATCTTGACTGCCACCCTGACTGCATCTAGAATTACCTAGAATCCAAGCCGCCAGGCATGCCTGTGAAGATTTTCTTGGTAAGATCATTTGAGATGCACCATATTGGACCACACCTCATTGTGGCAGCCCACCCTCATAACAGGACATGGAGGAAGGAAGCTTTTACTTTTTGCCTGCTTGCCCTTGCTTCTGCTGGAGAGTTCATCTACCCTGTTCCTGAGGCAGTCCATCACTGTACTGAAACTTGCTTCTTCGAGATTCTAACTCGACAAGGAGCTAGAGTCCCAGGACATTCCTGGGACTCTAGCACCAGATTGGGACTGTGGAGACATTCAGTCTTGTGGGCTGAACAGCTATTGGATCCTTGGCCTTTCCATTGGGAGATAGCCATTGTTGAACTGTTGAGACTACAGCCTGTAACTCTAATCTCATTATATATATATAAAACATTATATATTATACATATGACATTCTATATTATCTATAATTTATATAACATATGATACAATCCATATAACATATAATAAGCTATATATGATCCTAGATACATATAATCATTTTGTTCCCTCTAGAGAACACTAACCAATGCAACCACCATGTACATAGTTTTATGTGGTGCTGAGACTCAAACTCAGGGCTTTGTGAGGTTTTACAAGCACTCCTCATCCTCAAGGTTAGTATTTCTGAGTAAGAACATCTGGAGCACAGAAAAGTGGGTTGGAACTCACTGTTGAAAATCAGAAGAAAAGCTTCAGTTTCCCTTCCTCCATAATCCCCTGGGCCTTGCCCAGCTGCGTCCTCATTGTGAAGGGCACACCACAAACGAGCGATTTCATAGAAATGCCTTTGTGAAGGGTCTTTAGAATAGACTCTGATACAGAGAACATAGGACAAGAAACCACCATATGACTCACTCCATTCTTTAAAAGTTATAACTAATTTAGAGTTTGGTAACTACAATGATGGATTTGCATTTTCCAACAGCATCCAGTCCTACATATAAAGCAAAGAGCAATGTCCCCTTTCTGAGTGTTGATGAAGAGATCCTGCACACATGAGGGTTGGCTAGACTTGATGTCACCTGTGCTGCAGTATCAAAGTTTTCTTTCCTTTTTACAAAAGAGGAGACATGTTCTACACTTCCAAATCTCTCCCTTTCTTTCCTGTGTTCTCCCTCCCCACGTCTACTCTTCTACTGGGGTTTAGCCAACCCAAGTACAAAATTTCTCCATTTTTAGAGATTCAGCATTTATGTAATAGTCAAGATCCTATTTTACCCTGCACATGCAAGTGTGCCTATTTCACACCAAGTGATACCTACCGTGTGTGACTCGCCCCAGAGCTATTTCCAGCTTCCTTGTTTTGTCTTGTATTTCTATTGTGGCCCTGATCACTAGCAATGTGATTAATGCACTACTTACTGGGGCCTTTGTTCCCTTTGTTTTTCTGATAATGCTAATTAATCCAGTGTTGGGAAAAAGACTCTGATTCTGGCTCACACATGTCAGATCGGGTGCTTCCCTTCTCTCACTTTGGTTTTAAATGAAACAGGAAAATAACAGTAGACCAGTTAGTGATGTGGCTGCACAAGACTCTTACAGTGCTTGTTCTTCCGGGACTATCCAAAGCTAACAAGGATAGACGTGGCCCTGAACGAAGAAAGCTTTGATTCACCAAAAATTTTGTTTTTCTTCTTGCAAGTTGCCTAATGATTGTGTGGGTGCAGGGGCTCTTAGTTAGGTTTGAGTGCAACAGATTACCCACTTTCCAGAAGAAGATGGTGAAGCTGGTTGTCTGAGATGCAAGCACCAATCCAGTGGGAGGCAGGACCATCCCTCCCCCTTCCCATCAGAATGTCTCCATCTTCCTCAGTCACAGGCAGGTGCCCCTTAGAGTTCAAGTTGAGAGACTGAGTTTTCAGCCTGCAGGTGACATTAGCTGTGGTCTGTGGTGTATGTTCACAGCATTAAATGGATCTGATGGACTTAGCCATCACACTCCATTCAGCATTTGACAACGGCCTTGCTAAATTACCCTGTATCCATTCTCACACCTCATTTTCTCAGATACTGAAGATCGAGTGATGTTTGTTCTAAAAGATGATAGTTAAAAAAGATTATTTCTCCTCTTAAAATCAAAATGTCTTAGAGCTAATTTTGTATCTATCTATCTATCTTTCTATCAATCTATCTATCTATCTATCTATCATCTATCTATCTATCTATCTATCTATCTATCTATCTATCTATCTATCCATCATTTATCTTTACAGAATAAAACAACAACAAAAATTTCCCAGAATTTTAGAACTATTCCACAACAACTACAGTATAGCTAGGCATAGTGGATATATCTTTAATACCAGTAGTTGAGAGGCTGAGGCAGGAGGATTGCCTTGAATTTGAGGTCAACCTAGGTTACAGAGTGAGACCCTACCTCAAAACACAATCAAACCAAACAATAAAAAGTCCCTACATTATTATTCTTTCTGTTCTTTGATTCAATGTATAGAATCGTCTGCCCTGCATGTAAATTAAAAAGTTGCTAGCATTAAGGTAGCATGTTTATCCAACATGGAGGACAAAAAGTGACTGCGATGTGACCTTGACCGCTCATTTGGCGTCGCTTGTACACCTGGTTTTGATCACGTGCTTCTGTGGGAGTCCCAGGGTGACAAGCAGAATGCCGAGTGTGGCACCGGCTCAGCCAGCACTTTCTTTGCCATCTTTGTGTGACCACTCATTTCTCTTCTTTCTCCTCAATCAAGTGGCTGGGGGGATCTGGACACACACTTCTCCTCACCAGAGACTGACTAGAAAGGCATGGTGCAAATAGATCAATACTTTTGTTAAAGTTTTGATTTAAAAATGAACTCTGAAATTCATTTCAATAAATGATGAGAAACTTAGTCAAGTCTCTACCCTCTGTAAAGTTGGATTAAAGTGCTAAATATAAAATATAAAGCATAAAATAACATTCCAACTGATTGGTTCATTTTGCTTTTGAATGACTTTGTTGGAAACACCAAATTTCTTTAGGGAAAGATCTGCGTGTTTGACTCTGCCCATTCTCAGTGGCACCTTCATTCATTAGATTAAACCATGAGGTTTTGTCATAAGACAAAAGGCAGAGAACCGCGTAAGGTTGAGAACAGCTTACTCTTATAAAAAGGTAGAGTTGTGGAATTTAATTTTTCGTAAGATGAAGTTTATGTTTCGGGATGGCTCTAAAGGAGTACCAATCACATTAATCTAGACTTTTGCTTATTAAACTGATTCTCCTTCATTTTCTAAGCTTCCTTAAGTCAGATGCTGGTGAGTTACATTGCTGAGTCCTTGTCACTCAAAACTCACCTAGTGAATCCAGCTGCTCATAATACGGAGTTATATAGTGGGAGGCCCATTTTTAACCGTCGAGTGGAGATGCATGGGATGTGCCTCTCTCCACAGCAGCGACTTTCTTACCACACAGTATAGGACTGTTAAGAATAACTGTCCATCCCCCCTCTTTTTTGCATGAAGCACATTTGTACTAGTTAATATTGATTGGCAATTTGACAAGGTCTATAATCACCTAAGAGCCAAGACTCTGGTCACATTGATCTAGATTAGATTACTCTGAGGTGAGAAGATCCCCCTTGTCTGTGTATGGCAGCGTTCCACAGGGTGGGGTCCTGGCCTGAATAAGGAGTAGAGAACCATTCTTAGTCTTCCCTTGTTGGCAGCAGATGTCATGTGACCAGTGTCCTCACCCTCCTGCTGCTGTGGCCTCCGCACCATGATGGACTCTACCCTCAAACTGCGAGCCACAATTAATTTTTCCTTCCTGAAGTTGCTTTTGTCAGTGTTTTGGGAGCCTTGGAGACTATTGAGAACTGATGTCAGGGTGCTATTGAAGCCCATTGAGGGAGGTATTGCCTCCTCCAAAGAAATGGAATCTACCTTTGGCCCTGGGTGGAGACATCTGCTCCAAAGATTAGAACATTACGTGTTATTGTCTCTGTTCTTCTCTTAGTAGTTAATTCAGCCAGGCCTGTCAACAACCTGGCCAAGAGACCACCATCCAGGAGGGCTGATTCACCTGGAGCCATACTAAGAACATCAGACGAGTAATTATCCCCTTACAGAGATGATGTACCTTTCCTTTGCTGAAGTCCCTCCCCAACAGAAGTTCCAGAACTCCCATCATGCTCCACAGGGCCTGCCCACATTTCTGAGCTCAGAAAAGCACAGCTTTTCTGATCTGCTTTTCCAAAGCCTGTGCATGCCTTTTCTGAGGTTTTCTCATTCTGTTTCTTAAGCTATTGCTCTCTTTTTGAGATGTGGATTCTTATAAACGACAAGGTTTCTCTCTTCCTATTCTGAGTCTACCTCCTCTGGTCAGTTGTGAAGATTTACAGCATGCTTGCCTTATTGTTTTTTTCCTTCAAATTTTAATAAAACTGTCCTTGAGCTTCCTTCTGAATAGATTTCTGTTCTTTTGAGACCAAACTCATAGAATGAGCCCCAGTCTCCCTGGTACATTGTAATACATGCAAAACGAACTATCAGAATGTTTTTGTCTACATAGAAGCCATGTCCACCTAAGTTTTTAGAGTTGTATAAAAAAATTCCATTTTCACAAATATAGTTAACCAATTTAGTTCATATATGTTAAATATAAAGGATCCATGGTTTTTGGTATAATATACATCTCCACTCATGTTCTTACTACATAGTCCAGGCTGGCCTTGAACATTTGATCCTCCTGCCTCAGATACCATCATAGGGTCTTTAAATTTTGTATCTCTGTGATATTTTAAGCCACCACGGAACCTCATTTTTACTGAAAATGGTCCATAGGGGAGAACAAGAACAGTCCTGAAATTCTTCTCCCTCACTATTTCTTACATGCACAATTTACATCAAGCAGTTTGTGTTAAATAACAGTTCCATGAAGTTTTCTAGCTGTTTACCCTCACTTAACATAGTATTTAAGTTTTTAAAATTAATTTATTTTATTTTATGTGTATGTTTTGCCTGCATGTGTATCTGTGTGTTGCATGCATGCCAGGTGCCCGCCTGCAGAGTTCAGAAGAGGGAGTTGGATCCCCTGGAACTGGAGTGACAGCTGGTTTTGCACACCCTGTGAGTGCTGGGAATGGAATCCCAGGGCCTCTTGCAGAGCAACCAGAGCTTTTAGCTCCTGAGCCATCTCTCTAGCCCCAAGTGCTTATTTTTTAAGGAGTTCTTACATAAAAATTTTCCGTTTAAAAATGAACCCTCTTAGATATAGAAATATTTTTGTAGACTACTAACCAGACTTTCATAGAGGAAAGCGACGGTGGCAATCTTAATAGCGACAAGAAGGGTCTTCCATTAAGTGATGGCCTCTTAAGACCCAGAAACACAGCATTCACGGATGTTTTCATGAGATACTTAACTAGGTACAAATTACAGGGAGTCTTTGTGAACTTTCTGTGATTAAAAAGACCCGTTTTTCCTCTGCCAGTTAATGCATTCTCAGGACACCTTTCCCCCACTTTTATGAAGTTTTCCCATGCAACCCATGCAAAATTCAGAAGTAAAGCTCGCCTCCAACTGCAAGAATTCATTCAAAAGAAAAACACATTTGATTTTCAATGATTCTATCCACTCATATTTTTCATTAGAGTTGGAATGAAGTTGTGACTATATTGAATGTTTTACCTTGGATTTTTTCTACCTCAAGGATTTTTGAGCATATAAATGTATGAAACTATTCACCTGATAGTCTTTGTCCATAGAAATGTATGCTTAGGAAGTTTTTATAACAAGAATGACTTTTAGAGCAAAAATAAAAATAAAATTAAAAAAACAGGGCACAAAATCACATACCCAACATAT